TTTAAACGACCTCTACGGTGAGTTGAGTAAGTGTCTTGGCCTCAATCTACTTTGAGAAGTAATATACTGCCACAAGCAAAAATTTTTGTTGGCCTTGTGATTGGAGAAAAAACCCGAGAATATCATGTCCACATATGACAAAAGGTCACGAGCTGGTGATGAAGTATAGTTTGTGAGTCGGTTGATGTTTTATGCATACTTCTGACACTGTTTACATCTCCTTGAGAATTCCTTAGTCTCCTTTTGAAATAAATATCTTTATCATTGCACTCGATGTGCCAAAGTTTGTCCTCCAGAGTGACTTGTGTTCCCCTTAATGGACCTCCTTGAGGGCACTCTCTATCTCATCTTCTTCAATGCACCTTAGATACAATGAGGTGATTGATCTCCAAAAAATTGTTCCCTCGATCATAAGGTATTGAGCTATCTTGATTTTGAAGCACTTTGAATTAATTACATCTTTTGAGACGTTCCCGGCCTCAAAGTTATAGTATGTATTGGTTCACCCAACTCTTTTTCCCTTTGGCTCCAAGATTGATCACTTTGGCTTCTTCAATGGTCAACTAGAAGAGCCTCTCGGGTATACCCTCCCTCAAGAGAATGCACTTGGATATAAGCTCTGCTACCTAATTGTTCGCTGGGAGATTTGCCTGATCTTAAAGCCTTTGAATTTCCATATTTCTATTTTAGTTTTGTCAAGGTATTTGGTAATCATCTCATCTCTTACCTCAAATTGCCCATTCACCTGTGTGACTACCAACTGTGAGTCAAATTTTACTATGAGGAATCGAGTACCTATTCCGTATGTGAAGCTTAGTGCGACAATTAGAGCATCATTCTCGACTTGGTTGTTGTTAACTTCGTATCCCACTTTTATCGAGTGGTCCAGGTGATCCCCAATTAAATTTTCAGAGTGAGACTGAGCCCCACCCTGATTTGATTAGATGCTTTGTTGATGTGTAGGACCCAGGTTTGGCTTTCAGTCATCATCTATTTGCCTAGTTTGCTCCCAAAAAAAATAAGCCAAGAAATTCACTATGGATTGTGCTTTGATGGTGGTACAGGGTATGAAAAGAGGTCAAAAATGACTGACAAAACTGCGGGTGAGTTAACATTGAAAAGATTTTAGGAATACTTGGGGGACATGAGCAGTGAGGAAGAAAAAAGGTCACTCAAAAAAGAAAGTAAGTAAAGTGAGAAGCTAATCGAAAAATTTAAAAACTTATAGTGCGAGAAGTCGAAGAGACATACGGGCAGTAGGGTATTTTTGCTACATTGAAGCGCAGGAAAAGAGTTAAATCCAAGACATAGCGATCAACCAAGAATTGACATACACATACATCTATTAATGAAAAACAAATATTTACATCTCTTTCATTCGATTATAACTACTTAGTTGGAAAGAAAAAAAACTTTACAAAACTATCCACTGCAGCCTTAATAGGGACATATCCTAACTAGGACAACAACTTATGCATCATCTCCCCTCCTATCATAACTTTATCTACTTTATTCATTTCAGAGTACAGCTGGGTGATCGAAACATCCTCTTAGATGGCTGTCAACTTAGAGCTTAGGGTTGGCTACTCCTGAAGAATCACCTCACGAGCCAGGACTACAACCGATTCGTCCTCCAATCTTTCTAGTTGCACATCTCAAAGCTGAAGGCGATCAGTTCCTTGAGCTCATAGAATCTCAACCTCATGAAAATGAAGCTCAGCCGAGCTGGATAGTTCCGACACACTAACCACTCCCATTGTGTCAACCATTAGACACATTAATTATTCCCCAAGAAGTCCTCTAGAGCATCTAGAGTCTGCGGCAGATCTGAGGTCCGCTATGAAACTGGTTTGAGTAGTGGTGCACTCATCGGGGTGACGGAGTCTTCATCACTTCGTTCGAAGAAGGTCCCATCATCTTGTTCGTGTCTGAAGTAGTAAAGGAACATGCTTCTTCCACAGATTCCTGCCACACCGGTGGAGGATAAGAAACATGTTGAGAAGCATCTGTTAGGGGAAGGTCGGGGACAGCTCCTCATTTGTGGTCGATGCTTCTGGTGGTATCAGCACAAAAGAAGACCCTCGATCCTATCCTTCCGCTAGCTCAGGAAAAACTGAAGGGAGAGTCGGGTTTTTCGACTGCCCATCATCTGGACAGATTTGTTCCACTGTACGGCAATTCTTCAAGCAAAAACATCCCACTGTCACTAGAGATTTCCCTGCAGAAGGACAATAGAGCAAATGGAAGACCACACTTTGACCAATGGTTCATAAGTCTTCGCCTCAGACAACACGTTTGTCGGGTCGTTTTCCCCTAGAAGCTGATTTGGCCCTCTTTTTCATCACCTAAAACACCATAGCTCGAGCCTCCTCATTGAACTTGACTAACTTGGGAAGCTATCCAACCTCCATAATCAGAGCAGCAGAGAAGATGAAGTATAACACTAGGAAACACCTGAAAGACGAGTCTCCCTTCCCATTTTCGTTATTTATAGGGGGTATGACGCAAAAATGTGGCAATAATTAATTATTACACATTTAATAGTCATGAATACATTTAACGTTTTTGAAAATCAAATTCCTTTGTCATTATCACAGTTGTCACTATTAAGGAATAAAGGAATCAAGGAACTTAAATATGTATATAAAAATGTGTCAGCACGAATCTCAAAGGGAGCCAATGACTAGCAGAAGAGGTGACGCCAAAGACTTTCCAGAATCTCATATCTAGCCATGTGACACCCGTAGGCCAAAAGGAACATGATCTTCGGATGAATTGGACTCAGCTACTTCTGGAGACAACCAACAATTCTTTCGTTAATTCAATGTATAAACACCCGACCCATAAAGGCGGTGTGGGAGCCATCATAGGCTCCTCGTCCCATCTAACCAGGCAGTAGGGTATTTTTGCTACATTGAAGCGCAGGAAAAGAGTTAAATCTAAGACATAGTGATCAACCGGGAATTGACATACACATACATCTATTAATAAAAAACAAATATTTACATCTCTTTCATTAAATCATAACTACTTAGTTGGAACGAAAATAACTTCACAAAACTATCCACTGTAGCCTTAACAGGGACATATCCCAACTAGGACAACAACTTATGCATCATCTCCCCTCCTATCATAACTTTATCTACTCTATTCATTTCAGAGTACAACTGGGAGATCGAAAGCTCCTCTCAGACGGCTTTCAACTTAGAGCTTAAGGGTGGCTACTCCTGAAGAATCACCTCACGAGCCAGGACCACAACCGATTCGTCCTCCAATCTTTCTAGTTTCACATCTCAAAGATGAAGGCGATCAGTTCCTTGACCTCATAGAATCTCAACCTCATTAAAATGAAGCTCAGTCGAGCTGGATGGATCTGACACACCAACCACTCCCATTGGGTCAACCACTAGACACATCAATTATTCCACAAGAAGTCCTCTAGAATGTCTGGAGTCTTTGGCATAGCTGAAGTCCGCTATGAAACTGGTCTGAGTAATGGCGCACTCATTGGGTGATGGAGTCTTCATCCCTTCGTTCAAAGAAGGTCCCATCATCTTGTTCGTGTCTGAAGTAGTAAAGGAACATGCTTCTTCCACAGATTCCTGCCACACCGGCGGAGGATAAGAAATAAGTTGAGAAGCATCTGTTAGGGGAAGGTCGGGGACAGCTCCTCATTCGTGGTCGATGCTTCCGGTGGTATCAGCACAAAAGCAGACCCTCGATTCTGTCCTTCCACCAGCTCAGGAAAAACTGAAGGGAGAGTTGAGTTTTTCGCTTGCCCATCATCTGGGCAGATTTGTTCCACTGTACGACAATTCTTCAAGGAAAAACCTCCCACTGTCATTAGAGATTCCCTTGCAGAAGGACAATAGAGTGAATGGATGACCCCACTTCGACCAATGGTTCATAATTCTTCGCCTCAAGCAACACGTTTGTTGGGTCGTTCGCCCCTAGAAGCTGATTTGGCCCTCTTTTTCATCACCTAAAACACCATAGCTCGAGCCTCCTCATTGAACTTGACTAACTTGGGAAGCTATCCAACCTCCATAATCAGAGCAGCAGAGAAGATGAAGTATAACACTAGGAAACACCTGAAAGACGAGTCTCCCTTCCCATTTTCTTTATTTATAGGGGGTATGATGCAAAAATGTGGCAATAATTAATTATTGTACATTTAATAGTCATGAATACAATTAACATATTTGAAAATCAGATTCTCTTGTCATTATCACAGTTGTCACTATTAAGGAATAAAGGAATCAAGAAACTTAAATATGTATATAAAAATATATCAGCACGAATCTCAAAGGGATTCAATGGTTGGCAGAAGAGGCGACGCCAAAGACGTTCTAGAATCTCATATCTAGCCAGGTGACACCCGTAGGCCAAAAGGAACATGATCTTCAGATGAATTGGACTCAGCTACTCTGGAGACAACCAACAATTGTTTCGGTAATTCAATGTATAAACACCCGACCCATAAAGGCGGGGCGGGGGGCAAGGCGGTGCGGGAGCCACCATAGACTCCTGGTCCCATCTAACCAGGCACAACCTTAAGCTCCTGGCCCCATCTAACTGGATTATATTTCATGCTCCCGGCTCCATCCGGCCAGATCCCATAATTGGCTTCCAACATCATTCAGAAGGATGCTATTTCAGGCCGGACATTAAATACATGTTTTGCCTAATATACCCTCTCTGTATATTTGTGTTCTAAGGGTACATAATGTAATTATATACCCCTCATTACTATAAAAAAGGGCTTAAATAAAGGTTACATGACTTTAATGTTTCATACTGTGCTAATGCTTTCTTTGTTCCCCTCTCTCGCTCTTCTTCTTACGCTAAATTCCTAATATCTCCTCGACAATTTTGGATTCAACACTATTTATAGTGGAGAGTTGTAAATGGCTCAATGATTTTAGGTGGATGGCTAATTGGATTGATTTTTAAAATAAACTGACAAATAATTATAAGAATTTACAATATGTGCATTTAAAGATCGATCTTTCGCTTCGCCGGCTGTCCAAAATAACACTGAATACTCTCCTAGCAAAGTCAAACAACATGGGTGAAAATAAAAATTCTAATTAAGGAAATGATACTTTAATAATAAACTAAATTAGATGTATTATTATGAAAGAAGCCGTAAAAGCGGCGGGCTTTTTTTTATAAAATGGACTTCTCCCTCTCTGTACGGTCTGAGAATAGGCTCACCGCTTAGATGGTCTCACCGTCGTTCCTCCGCCGACACCTCCTCACTCTGCTTCTCTTCCCCTTTCTCGCCGGCGGAGAACCCGACCTTAACTCCGACCGCGCCGCCCTGCTCGCCCTCATCATCGCCGTTGGCAAGACCTCGCTCCAGTGGAATGAAACCAACTCCCCATGTACTTGGCAAGGCGTTGGCTGCCTCCACAATCGCGTCGTCTTTCTCCGCCTACCCGCCGTCGGTCTAACAGGAGAGATCCCCGTCGGAACCCTAGGAAATCTCACTGCCCTCCGAAGCCTAAGCCTCCGCTTCAACAGCCTCTCCGGCCGCCTCCCGCCGGACCTAACCGGCGCCGCGGAGCTCCGCTATCTCTATCTTCAGGATAACCGGTTCTCAAGCGAGATACCGCCAGTGCTCTTCTCTCTGCAGAACCTAATTCGTCTCAACCTCGCTGGGAATGGGTTCACCGGCGGTATTTCGCCGGAGTTTAAAAATCTTTCTCGACTCGAAACGCTGTACCTTGAGAGTAATCAGCTCATTGGTGGCATCCCCGATCTTGATCTCCCGAAACTGGTACAGTTCAATGTCTCCTTCAACCGGTTGAACGGCTCCGTACCTTCCAAGCTTTGGAAGATACCGTCGAGCGCTTTTATTGGGACGTCGCTCTGCGGTGGTCCGCTGCATCCGTGCCCCGGCGAGATCTCACCGGTTTTAGCATCGGCCGTTGCGGAAAGCGGAAGGGGAAGTACGCTGTCCGGCGGTGCCATTGCCGGAATCGTTGTTGGATTGGTGGCTGTGGTGGTTATGCTACTGATTTTTTTGCTGTTCGTGTGCTGTAGGAGCTGTGGGAGCAATAATGGGGCGCAGGGGGGAGCGGGGAAACAGCCGGAAAAGGCGGCTAGAAGGAGGAAAGGACGGAAGTCGCCGGCGGCGGAGAAGAGACCGGAGGTTGGGAAGAGATTGGTGTTTTTTGGGACTGCGGGAGGGCCAGAGTTTGATTTGGAGGATTTGCTGCGAGCGTCGGCGGAGGTATTGGGAAAGGGGACATTTGGGACTGCGTACAAGGCAGAGCTGGAGCTTGGGACGGTGGTGGTGGTGAAGAGGCTGAGGGATGTGAGTTTGGCGGAGGAGGAATTTAGGGAGAAGGTTGAAAAAGTGGGTTACATGAAGCATGAGAATATTGTGCAGCTCAGGGCTTATTACTATAGCAAGAATGAGAAGCTGCTTGTGTATGATTACATGCCGATGGGAAGTCTCGCTGCTCTCTTGCACGGTAAAGCTCTCTCTTTTTGCACTTTTAACACTACCTGAAACTGCTTGTTGAACTTAGGGTTAGGTTATTGAGTTTTGGGTTTGTAAAGGAAGAACTTTAAATTTGGCTCAATGATTTTAATGATTTTAGGTTGATGGCTAATTGGATTGACTTTTGGCTCTAGTTGAGGTTGAGAAAAGGGCATCAACCTAATCAACGGGCCGAATTTTTTCATTGCAAATACAACAGCAATAATAAGAAGTCTTTATCCTACTAAGAAGTCTTTATCCTACTTAAGTGGGGCCCACTACATGGATCCTTTTTCTCATTGTGTTCTATTTTACACATTATTTTAAATTATTCATATCATGATTTATTCAACAAAAATTTTATATTGATTGTCAAGTGCCAAACACAACTCTATTTTTTACATTAGAGACCTGCATCCCAACATTGATAGTGTCGATTGCAAATATTGTTTGAAAAAGTTTATATATTTTTTAATTTAATTATTATAAGATATGGTGGTGATCTTCTCTTATTTGTACATATAGGACTAAGATTTTCAAAAATTAGTTAAAGCTTCATTTAGGGTAGCTGCAGCTTATTAAAAATTTGTTGTGAAGCGGCTAAAGAACAATTTCACTGCAGTTTATTAAAAATTTGTTGTGAAGCTGCTAAAGAATAATTTTATACTGCAAAAAATTATGGTGGTCATTAATTTTTTTTTTTTTTTGAAGAAATTAGACCACAGCTGAAAGCTCCCACCGCATCTAGTCAAGAGCGGTGGGAAAACATTGGTTTCAACGATAATTTTTTTTTTTTTTTGAAAAAACTGTCAAAACGTAGTTTAACAAAATAGCGAAAACAGCGGTTTGGTGTTGTACCGCCACCGCAGCGCTACCGCACCGCTGCACCAAACAAAACCTAAGTCTTTTTCAGGCTACGTGATATTTTTTTTAAGTAAAAGAGATCTTATAAAACTTTGTGATTAATTATGTATGGCTTGTTAACACAATAAAATAAGCTTTAGAAGGAGCTAGCATATAGAGAGAAGATACAAGAGCTATTAACTGAGAGAATAAAGGGAGGATTTTAAGTCTTGCTAATTTCATTTCCATCAAAAGGTGCATTTTGATTACCTCTTCTCATCCATTTTAAGATCCTCTTTTTCTGAAGTTCATCTCTTTTGTTATATATTCTTTCATCTCATTCTATCCATATTTTCTTTGTCTATGAACCTTAAGCATTCTCCACATTTTTTTTTATTTTATTTTAGATTATTTATCCTTTCTCTTAACCATTCATCCCTGTACAACACTTATATTTTATTAACCTCTTCTATTTGAACTGTGATAGTTTTAATTTTAACTTCCCTTCATGTATTCTTTATTTGTAACTTAAATTCATTTTAAACTTTTTCTATTATACTCTTTTATTTCAATAATATTGTTTCAAAATAAAAAAATTTTACATAATTAAATTTGCATTTATGTGATCACATTTTGATGCATTATGATACTCAAAACTATTTAAACATGGTAAAACATGGATTTAATTAAGTATGAAAAATTCTTATTTTAAATATTTCTTCATTTTATATCATCAAAATTTATTTAAATTTTGTTAATATATGAAATTAAAGTGAAGCCTTTCCTTTGTGCTTGGAAGCTTATGATTCATTCAACATAGTTATCAAATGCTTTAATTCACGCAACTGCTTTTTGAGATATTGCTTTCAATATTCCCAATGGGACTTATATAATAAATGTCATGAAGTGCTCATTGATATATTTGAGAAACTCTCTATAGTTAGCTAGGTATGTAGAATACATAAAAGCTTTTCAATCTTAAGTTATTGGGGCATTATTTATTGACTATATCAACTAGTTTAACTCAATCACAGAATAGTTAAACTCTATAAACATTATGCTTGATGATAAAATCCACGCTTTACGCTTAATTACATCATTAAGTTGGGATTAGGGGTGTAAGTGAGTTGATCTACTTTTAACTTGACTCTCTAACAAGCTCATGAATCGAGCTCGTCAAACCAGAAACTCAAGCTCGAGCTCGAGCTCAAAGTTAAACTCATTTATTAAATGACCTTGAACTATTTTGTCGGCTCATGAGTTAGCTCGATTAGGATTTAGGGTTAAATGCCAAAGTGTTTAATCTCGATTTCCATTGTGACCACCTCTTTTTTTCAATCCTGCATGAGTTTTGTTGAACCTACTGTTAGATCAGTTGATCCTTCTTCAGTGAACTCCCAAGTCCCATTGCATGTCTCATTAAGACATTGATCCTTCTCTAGTAAGCTCTCTCTCACCTTTGGCCTCATCCTTCTTTCTCCAAAGAGCTTCCTCCAATTGTTGTTCTTATTGTTTTTTCTTCAACCAGCTCAAGTCATTGAGTGAGGCTCAACCTTGGAATTGGTGGATGAGGTGAACTCAAGCTTAATGTACGTGCTGTACTTGAGCTTGAGTTTGACGAGATCTCAAACTCGAATTCATGATAAGCTTGAGTTGGCAATGATTCCAGGTTAACTCAATTTGATTACCCCCTTAGTTTAGAGTTATTAGTAATTCTTATAGATTGTTTGCTTTTAAACTTGTTGATGCCATATACCTCATTCAAATAAAGGTATTAGATGAATAAGTGAAGTTAGATCTTTTATTTTTAATGTGGAATAGAGCACATCTCATTATAAGTAGCACATCAAATAAGAAATAACAATTAAATTAATAAAAAAGTAAATTTTGAGATCACCAACGTAGATGCTGGTACTGTGACAAGTCTGACGGCATAAGAGTAGAATATATAAAGAAGCATGAACAAGTTCAAAAGCTAAAGGAGAAGGTAATTAATGTTTGCTTGAAGAAATTTATGATGCACTCATGCTTATTATATCCATTGGAGGCATAAAATTTTACTTAGATGCATCCTTTCATACTTCTTTCAAATATAAATCAATAAAAAATAACTATTGCATACCCAGTTATGATATAAGTACTCTTTGTTAAATCAAGGGTTGTTAGTTTACTTAACTTTAGGCTTCTTGAGGAGTTTTGTTTAGCAAAAGGGTATATTTATCACATTTAATACTTTCAGTTGCATAGCAAGTGCACTTGTTGCTTAAACAATATAAATTGACTAGAATATTGTACCCATGAGGATCACAATTAAAAATTTGATAACTTAATTACTAATTTTTATCCTACTAAATTTAAAAATATTTTCTTTTTAAAACCTACGCTAAACTTTCTTTTTGCCAAAAATAAATTTTAAATTTCGAACGAGTGAGAAATTATTATGATTTAAGGATTATCAACTTATTAAACTTAACTCTGAAGTTTTATCATATAGCAAGTGATTGTCAATTAAGAGTTTTGGTACTTTTAGTCTCTTCTGATCATTATAATCAGTATCTTTATCCTTCCTATTTAGAGTTATGAATCTTAATTACTATAATTCCATTCTTCTATAGTGTTAAATGAGATGCTATATCTTATTTATTATAGATAATTGTAGTAAGATAGCTACTGATTGAAGTATTTATTATAATTAGATACCAAGTAAATAATCATTAGGGCCTAAATTCAATAGATTAGAGCTAAATTCAAAACTCATTAGGACATTGAAGGACACTAGTTTTAAAATTAATCATTAGAGCCAAAAAATTACGCTAAAATTTAATCAATCAAATGGCTGAATGGTGATAATAATGCAGCACCTTGATTAAATGTGTCAATCCAAATTACCTATTCACATAAATTTCATTTTTATTTGGGAAATTTATATATGTAGCACTCAATTCTTATGTATTTACGTTTCTCACACCTAAACATTCATATTTATGCACGTAGCATGAAAAGATGTATTTGACTTTAAAAAAATGTTAATACTGATTTTTTTTAATGTCGTATTAAAGACTTGAGTACTCTATACATAATTATGAAAACTTAGGTGTGAGAAATGCAAATACATAAAAATTGTGTGCTATTTATGTAAATGCCCTTCATCCATAGTTTAATTCCTTGTTCTGTATCATACAGTCCTGGTTGAGCAAATATTACATCCGGGCTCCAGACATAATTCAATATTGCGGCGCCACGTGTCAAATGGGCCAACCGCAATGCATTGAGATTGGTCAGTGTTAAAGGGGCTCACTTGATACGTGGAGCCCCACTATTGGACTCTGGGTGTATCCGGAGTCATGACCTAATATATTTTTTGGGTTCACATTGTTCAATTATCAATGATGCAGGAAACAAAACATCAAGAAGAAACCCCCTTACCTGGGAAACCAGAATCTCCATCGCTCTTTCGGTCGCCCGTGCCATCGATCACATCCATTCGACCAGCCCTACCGCTTCCCACGGCAACATCAAGTTCTCCAACATCTTTCTCAACGAATCCCACACCACTCGTCTCTCTGACAATGGGATCGTACCTCTCGTCGTTCCAAGCAGCTCCCGAAACCATGTTTCCGGCTATCGCGCTCCGGAACTCGCCGACTCACGCAAGGTCTCTCAGAAGGCGGATGTATACAGCTTTGGCATCGTCCTGCTGGAGCTGCTCACGGGAAAGGCTGCCGAGGAGGGTGACAACCTCCGTAGAATGGTGGAATCGATGCTGCGGGAGGAGTGGTCTACTGATGTTCTGGATCTGGAGCTTCTTAGGCAGCAGAATGTGGAGGAGATGGTTCAGCTGTTGCAGCTTGCTATGAACTGCACGGTTCGGAATCCGGATAGCAGGCCGTCGATGAAGGAGGTGATAGCGCAGATCGAAGCGATCGGCTTGTCGAGCAGAGATGATGGAGAAGTCCAAGAACAGCAGCAGGTTGTGAAGCGGCAGTGTTTGTGAAAAGTGATGCTCAAGAGCATTGCGAAGCTTGTGGGGCAGATGGTTGAATCATTATTGAAAGTTGATTTTGTACAGTTATTATGATGATGGATGGGTAGAATTTTCAGGGGAAATTTACATAAATACCAGAGAGTTCTTATGTATTTGTATGTATAACAATTAAAGTTTGAAAGTTTGATATCTATATCCTGTCACGTTGGCGTCATAAACATATCCATGAAAATGTATATTTCATTTTAGAAGATGGTCACGATTATATTTTTTTATGTGATGTCAAGGATTTGAGTGATTTGAATTTTTATACACCTAAAAATGTCTTCCGAGTTGCCCAACTGTTGAATTGTTGAATTGCTTAATTATCCAGCTGACAAATTTCTCACTATAGAATTGTTCAATTGCCTAAATTGCCCGGTTGATGAATTACGCAATTGCCCATATGGTATATTACTGATTTGCTCCGTTGGTGAATTGCTTAATTATCCAGCTGACAAATTTCTCACTATAGAATTGTTCAATTGCCTAAATTGCCTAGCTGTTGAATTATTCAACTGTCAAATTGTTAAATTGTCCAACTAGCAAATCGATAAACTGTTTAATTGTCGAAGTGGTTGAAGTGTCTGGATAGAGAACTAGTTGAACTGCCTAGTAGACTAGTTGAACTGTCTAGCCAAAGAATTGGTTGAACTGTCTAGCAAGAGAATTGGTCGAACTGTCTAACAAGAGAACTGGTTGAACTTTCTAGCTGGAGAACTGGTCAAATTATTTAATTGAAAAATTGCCTAAAAGCCAAATTGTCAAGTTCAACTACATGATGAGACATGACATAAATGAGCATGACGTGACATAAAATTGTCGAATATAACATAAAGTTGTATGGCATGTTATAAAGTTGTCGGACATAATATAAAACTATTGGAAATAACATAATAGTTGAATTTGACTTAACATTATATAGCGTTATACAATTTTCATTATCGTGATAATATGGCACCTCAGGGCGCATAAATAAAGGTCAAATGTAAAAACAAGGAAATGGAGGCAAGGGCTTCTTTTCTAGCGGGTTGCTAATCTCTCTTTTTTCCCCTCTCTTCTGCTCAGTGTTGGTAGGATTTAAGACATGGACATTATGGGACCCTGTATCCTAGAAGGATTCAAAATTCTGAAAAGTACTGTGAGCGTAGAAGTATGTCTTAAATATGAAGTCCCGCATAAATATCTATTGTGAGACAACAAAAATGGCACTAGAGGAATCTCCAACAAATGAGATAAGTTATTATATCTTTAAATCTCATTTTTACATCATTTAAACTTAAATTTCTCTAAATTGTTTATATAAAATTTCATTAGTACTTTTATTTTTTAAATAAAGGCACTTATCTCTCGTAAGCAAGTTTCATTAAAGGAAAAGAAAATCGTCCAAACTTTTAGACCGTGCTTGACTCAATAGCTGAATGCTAGAGAAGACTTTGAAAAAGAGTCTTTTCGAAATATAGCTAAGCTGAATAAAGGATGAACGCGACTACTCTCTCCAGGTGTAGTCAAATTGTCCTCAAACGAATGATAGTTTGAATATAACGAAATTGTTCTACTTCATTTATAATTGAGTTATAGTATAAAGAAACAATACATCTAATCGCATAAAAGAAAGACAATTTATTTCTTATTAATAATAATCAAGGAACTAACTCTATAAGATAATATAAAGTATCTTAAAGTGAGTTATAATGTCCCCAGGATGAAACCTTAGATGAGTAATCAGTACATAGTGAAATACAACACTAATTTTTATCTAGATAGTTTTAATTCATATCAACAAATTTATTTTTTGGATAAATGAAGTGTACACTTGCATTATAAAGGTGAACAATGTATGGTTTCATGATTGAAATTCTTGTATTATTTTTGCAGATGTCAATCAAAGAAATAAGAGAATCAAGAAATTAAATGTATACACCAGTAAAAGCTTTCCGAGCAGCTTGGTTGCCAAATTGTAGAATTGTCTAGCTGGCGAATTGCTTAATTGCCCTAGTAACGAATTGTTGAATTTCCTAAATGATGAATTGTTGAATTGTTTGGATGATAAATTGCATTACCTAGCTCACGAATTGCCCCTATAGAATTGCCCAACTGTTTAAATTACATAGCCGTCAAAGCTACGCAACTATCGAATTATTGAACAGTCAAGCTGCCAAATTACTGAAATTCTCCAACTAGCAAATTGACAAAATGCCTAACTGCTGAAGTTGTTGAGTTGTCTAGTTGGAGAATTAGTTAAATTACTTTCCAAAAAGTCCAGTTAAACTACTTAGATGGAGAACTGGTTGAGTTACCTAGTAGGAAAACGGGTTGAAATGCTTAATTAGAGAACTAGTCAAGCTGCATAACTGGCAAACTACTTTATTACCAAATTGTCAAACTGTTGAATTGTCAAGTTCCAATAAATGGTGATACGTGACATAAAGTTCTAGAACATGAGATAAAGTTGTCGAATATAACAGAAAGTTGCATGCATGATATAAAATCGTTGAACATGATATAAAGTTACTAGAGATGTTATAAAACTGTTGGATATCATTTAAAATTTTGTACCTTTATACAATTTTTTTATATCATGATAAAAGAACACTCATGGCTTATTAATAGTGGTCAAATGTGTAAAACCAAAGAAAGGGAGGTAAGGGCTCTCTCTTCCCACAAGCTGCTCTTCACCTCTTTCTTTCTCCTTTTTCAGCTCAATGCTAATAGAATTTGGGCATAACACAAAGACGTTACGAGCGGCCCTACATTGCAAATATGAATTTTTAGGTGTTAGATATGTAAATATTGAAGTATTATGTGGCACGTTTGTAAATTCTCCATTTATCAAATATTAATTATTTTATTCATTTTTAACTATTGGGATTTTTTTTTCTAGAACACAAAGTTCATAATTAATTGAATGATTAGGTTCTGAAAACTAGGAAGGTGTTATAGGTGGTTGGAAGAATACTACATAGGAAGATTTACATACAATCCGCTTAAATGGTATTTCCATGTCTAGCACCAAAATTTCAATTTTTACATGCACACCACCTACCTTATGAATGAAAATGTATATTTAACTTTTTTTTTTTTTAGTTTAGTTAAAATGCTGAAATTTTTTATGTGATATGAATGATTGTAGTTTAAGTGTAAGATATGTAAATACATAGGAATTAGGCGGTATGTATCATATATGTAAATGCCCTTCTATTTAACTTTTTGTTCAAGTTGGAGTTCTTACAAACATACCACCCAAAATTTAAAATATAATAGTCTCACTAGCCAAAATTTAAAATTTACAATTCAACCACCCAAAACCTTCGTCCCTTACGAAACAGCCATCTCGTGACGGTTTGGTCGCTTCCGTCGCTCTCATGCCACTTGTCACTTAGTATCATTTTCCACTCTGTCGCTCTGTCATGGCTGCCATATGCTGGCCATATCTATTTCTCACGAACTTCAAGAGTTTTACGATCTAAGCAGTTTTGATAGTAGAAATGATAAAAAAAAATCTAGAGAGAAGGAAAAAATTCCTAGAGATTGAGTGAAGAAAGTTGGAAGAGCAACGAAAAGGCTATGAAGGGGAAGCAGTCGCTAATGCTTGATTGTCGTTGGAGAACTTTGTAACTTGTCTGTTTTTCCTTTTTTAGTCAAAAGAAATCATTTTATGAAAGGTTCTATGGTTACTAGATTTAACGCAACATAATTTCAGCCCTGGGAATACAAGGATGCATGATGACAGTGTGAGAAATAAGATAGTTTAAGTTGCAATCATGCCTTGGACAAAGCAAAAAATTCTACTAGTTGAAAATTCTCAAAAGTCATGGAGGCGACCCTTAGAAAGGTTATCTTCCATTAGTGTTACCATGATCAAGCTTAGTTGCTCCTCCTATCTTTCTCCAAGACTCCCTTCGACTTCTAGTGGCAGCTCTCACTTGTATTTACTTTAGCGTTAGGTCTCTGCAAATAAGAGTTTATGTATTATTAGTCAAGTGTGTTAAAAAGTGTAATATATCTTTGTGTAAATTTACAATTTTGCCACTGTATAGCCAATTTATATCAACCACTATATTAATTAGTGTAAGAATAGGAAATTAAATAAAGTTTAGTTCTTATCTTTCTTTAAACTCTCTTATTCCCTTTCTCCGTGTTCATGGTTTTTCAAGTTGATATTAGAGCCAAGAGCTCCACAACAAGAATGGATTCAAGTTTCACAATATCAAATAAAGAGTATTAGCAAGCTATAATATCATACAATAAATTCAGAGAGATAAATATTCCTACAACCTTAAAACTCTTGATGTCTCAAATCAAGAATGTTACTAGCACATATCTGACTCAAGATAAATATCTAGTTTGGAAGGTATAAATATCAAAACTGCTCATAGCTAATTATTTTGATTCAATTTTAAATGAAAAGGTCTTCCCCTAACCAAGATTCATTCCAGATGAAAATGGAACTATCTCTGAAAATAAATATTATCTACTTTGGCAAATGGTTGACACAAACCTTGATGTTGTTATATTCTCTACCATCTGCCACTCAATTCTCCTTTCCATCATTCATCTAAGCACTACAACAGAAATATGACGTACCTTCGAGAAAAGATTTCAAGATTCAAATCGATCTCGAGTCATTCAATTCAAGAATAAACTCCATAATATCATAATGGCAGCAAGTGGTATGACTAAATATCTCATCATTATCAAGAACTTGGTGGATAACATTGCAACAGTTGGCTCCAAGGTAGACATTAAAGACATCATTCTTTATACCTTAAATAATTTACCTCCCAGCTATAAAGGATTTAAGACGGATATTAGAACAAATCTACAACCACTCTTCTTAGATGATTTTCTAGAAGCCTCCACATGTCAAGCTCTGGTTTGCTCTACCGTCAACACAAGTTGTCACAATAACACCAATTCTCTACTTTGATATTTGCAGTTTTGTAGTGCAAATTGATCAGCACCGTCCATTTTAAATAGTGAGAATCAGACGGCATTCAGTCATCGTCCCCAACATGACAAAGCATGCTCACTATGCGCTTTCTATACCTAAGATCTCAAGTTAAGTTACATGGAATAACTTTGTGATTGGGTATAAAGCTAGATCTAAGCCTAAGGATTCTATCCACATGGCTAACATGAATTGAATTTAAGGTTTACTTCATA